ATATCGGCCACAGTCATTTCATCACCAACCACATATTTTCCTTTTTTGAGGAATGCTTCCAAGAAACTATAGGCATTTTCACAGAGAGTAATTGTTTTCGGATTAAAATCACCTTCACCGCCATAAATGTTGCGGGCCTGCAAGGAAAGAGGGGATTTTTTTTATAATTCAGAATTATATATATTTTTAAGAGATACTAACCACAATATCCTTGATTACTTGAAATAGCACACCATTCTCATAGTGCATACGATGATCAACGTGAGCTCGGGTTTTCAAATCCTTTGGATAGAGTTTGTCATCCTTGGCATATTTACCAACCATAAAACAGATAATGGCGTGACTGAAAATATAAAGAAAGAAAATCAGATCTGAACAAATATTGTTTAAAAAAATGTCAAGCCTTGGCGGGACCTTTAAAAAATATTTTAAATAATACAAGCCTTAGCAGGACCTTTAAAAATGGTTTCTTGAAAAATCCATCCATTTTTGGACCTTTAAAAATATTTTTTAAAGAATACACGCCTTGGTATGAAGGTTAAGAAATAATATTTAAAAGATCCACGCCTTGTTTGGACCTTTAAAATTATTTTTTTTAAAAATCCACGCCTTGTTTGGACCTTTAAAATTATTTTTTAAAAAATCCACGCCTTGTTTGGACCTTTAAAATTATTTTTTAAAAAATCCACGCCTTATTTGGACCTTTAAAATTATTTTTTAAAAAATCCACGCCTTATTTGGACCTTTAAAATTATTTTTTAAAAAATCCACGCCTTGTTTGGTCCTTTAAAATTATTTTTTAAAAAATCCACGCCTTGGCATGATGATTAAAAAATAATATTTAAAAGATTCACACCTTGGCAGGATGATTAAAAAATAATTTTTAAAAAATCCACGCCTTGGTACATCTATTTAACACACATTTTCTTCGGGTGTATCCTTATTATAATTTTGTGCATTCGACTCTCTTCGTCTGTGGGTTCTCTTTTGCAGATTTCTCTCCCTCCCGAAAGAAAAAATCTGTTTGACAACAGTTCAACACATGTTCTGCTGACTGACGCATTCGCACACTCACCTGTCAATGTACACTTCACCGTCGGTATCCACAAAAACCGGTATCTGATGTTGGGGATTTAACTGCAACAAAAAAAAAAAAAAAAAAAAAACAACCAAAATATAAACATGAAGAAATGCAATACGATTTTTTGTGGTCGGTTTTGCCCTTCTGGCGAACTATTTCCTGGGAACTCTTTGGGGCTGAGTAACCTCTACGTGCTTACCTTTAGAAATTCTTCACTCAGATGTTCTTTTTGCGAAAAATCAACAAATCTGAAATATGTATACAATATATAATTATATAAGTATATCGTGTGCTTAGCAAAAAAATCTGTTTGCATACTTCAAATCCAAATCGAGACCAATCAACTTGGCTGTTATCATGCAAGCCCTGGCCGGAGGACTAAATAGAGCATAGTACAGAGTTGGTTTGTTGCTCATTGCAGCTGTTTTTGTGTTATTACAGATGGATTCCTTAGTTGTTGTTGTTTTTGTTAAAATCGAAACAACTTCGCGTTTGTATTTTAGCGACCGAGAACGTTCTGAGAACTTTGAATGTTGAAATGCAACTGATTCGCAAACGAAAATGTGTTGGCACTCGCACATGTTTGTATGCCACTATTCGATGGGATTCTATGAGAGAGAGTACATTGAGTCTCCCATAGGGAGCCAAAGTTTGGGTCTCTTAACAATACTCTTATTTATACTAATAAAAGAGTAAAGTGATTGACTGACTGATTGACGGCTGAAGCTAGAATCATGAAATTTTGTTGAGGGTCACTCTTGGTCCAAATGTGACAGATAAGGCTGGGTTTTTGGAAATTCGTACTATAATGGTACGAAAAGTACTAAAAGGTACTAATCTATATTAATAAAAGAGTAAAGTGATTGACTGACTGACTGATTTAACGATTCATCAATGCCCAGACGAAACGGCTGAAGCTAGAATCTTAAAATTTTGGGTGAGGGTCACTCTTGGTCCAAATGTGACAGATATGGCTGGGTTTTTGGAAATTCGTACTAGAACGGTACGAAAAGTACTAAATGTGATACCATTTGTATTTGGCGAACCGGTAGAGTTAGAACTCTGAAATGTGCTTAGGTGGTCGTTGATGGAGTGTAGGATAGATGTACCTAAGGGTTTTTGGAAATTCGAACTATAACTATCCGAAAAGTACGAAAATGTACTAAATTCGGTACAGTTCTGTAGCATGTGAACGGATAGTGTTAAAAACTTGAAGTGTGGAGTGTGAATTAAGGTTGAGATGTTGGGTCCATTTAAGGAGATGGTTTTGAATGCGCTTACTCATGTGTACGAAAAGTACTATATGGTACTATATTTGGTACAAATTTAATCTATACTAATAAAAGAGTAAAGCTATTGACCGACTGACCGATTTAACGATTCATTAATGCCCAGACGAAACGGCTGAGCTAGAATCCTGAAATTTTGGGTGAGTGTCACTCTTGGTCCAGATAAGGCTGGGTTTTTGGAAATTCGTACTAGAAGCGTACGAAAAGTACTAAATATGGTATCATTTGTATTTGGCGAACCAGTAGAGCTAGAAATCTGAAATTTGAATTGAGGGTCACTGATGGAGTGTAGAATAGATGTAGCAAAGTACTTTTTGGAAATTCGAACTATAAGTATCGGATAAGTACTAAAATGTACTAAATTTGGTACAATTTCGTAGCACGTGAATGGATTGAGCTAAAATTTTGAAATTTGGAATGCAAATTAAGGATGAGAATTAGGGTCGATATGAGGAGAGTTTGGAAAGCGTGTACTCATGTGTACGAAAAGTACTATATGGTATTATATTTGGTACAAATTTGATTTGGAGGTACAAATCGAGCTGGAATACTGGAATTTGAAATTAAAATTTCCGTCGGAGTGTAGGATGGGCATATGGACGTAGTTTTGGAAATTTGTTACTTATGTGTACGAAAAGTACTAAATCGTACTATAATTGGTACAATTTGGATTTGGGTGAACCGATAGAGCGGGAACAATGAAATTAGGAGTCAGGATCATTGTAGGCGTGTAGGATTAGGGACAGAATTCAGTTTAACAAATTAATACTTGTGGGTACTAAATGGTACTAAATTTGGTACAATTTGAAATTTAGGTGAACCAATAGAGTTAGAATCATGAAATTTGGAGTAAGGATCACTTTTGAGGTGTAAGATTGAAATATGTAGGAAGTTTTAGAATTTGTACTAAAGTGTACTAAATTTGTTACAATTTAAATTGTGGGTGAATCGATAGAGTTGAAATCATGAAATTTTGATTTAGGATCACTGTGGAGTTATAGTATTGGGGTATGTAGGAAGTTTTGGAAATTCGTACTACTGTGTACTAAATTTGGTACAATATGAATTGTGGGTGAACCGATAGCGTTGGAATCCTAAATCTTGGATTTAGGATCACTGTAGGGGTGTGGTTTGGGTTAAGTTGGCAGATTTTGAGATTCGTACTACTGTGTACTAAATTTGGTACAATTTGAATTGTGGGGAAACCGAAAGAGTTTGAATCCTGAACTTAGATTAAGGATCACTGTGGGGGTGTTGGTTTGGTTTAAGTAGGAAGCTTTGGAAATTCGTGCTACTGTGTACTAAATTTAGTATAATTTGGATTGTGGATCAACCGATATCGTTGGAATCCTGAAATCATTGTGGGGTGTAGGATTCGAGTATGTAGGAAGATTTGGAAATTGGTACAACTATGTACTAAATTTGGTACAAGAGGTATTGGAAATTCATACTAATGTGTTCTAAATTTGGTACAATTTGAATTGTGGGTGAACCGATAGAGTTTGAATACTGAAACTTAGATTTAGAATCACTGTGGGGGTGTTGGTTTGGGTTAAGTAGGAAGTTTTGGAAATTCGTACTACTGTGTTCTAAATTTGGTACAATTTGAATTGTGGGTCAACCGATAAAGTTGGAATCCTGTAATTTGAATTTGGAATCATTGTGGGGGTGTAGGATCGGGGTATGCAGGAAGTTTTGTTAGATGGTTGAGGAGGGTATTTATGGAAATAATGTGCGCTAAGTGGAAAATTTGGATTTGGATGAACCTTTAGAGTTCGAATCATGAAATTTTTTACTAAATGGTACTCAAATTTAATTTATGGTCGATATTAATGTGTGGATTGTTTTTTCTGACATATGCAGTTTTTTTTTGAAAATAGAATAATATGTTAAGACCTGTTTAAATATTTCTTACATTCGCTAACGAAGTTGCGGGCATATGCTAGTATTGAATATAAAAAAAAATTCTCTTGAAAAAGGAAACAAACCATAAAAAAATATTTTTATGCCCTCCACCATAGTATGGAGGGTATATTAATTTTTTTTGTAACTCATCGAAATATTCATTTCCGACCCTATAAAGTATATATATTCTTGGTAAAATTCTAAGATGATCTAGCCATGTCCGTTCGTCCGTCCGTCTGTTGTAATCACGCTATCTTCTGAAGGAATTCAGATAGGGTGCTGAAATTTTGCATAGGGTTGTCTTTTGTCTGCAGGCAGGTCAAGTTCGAAGAGGGGATATATCGGTCCACGTTTAGGCATAGCTCCCATATAAGGGTACCCGCCAAATTTCGGTATTTTGGGGTTCTTGAGCGCGTTTTTCAGCCGAACTCGCTGAAATTTGACACATTGGGTTCTTATTGGATACTAAATGTCTCCACAAAAAATTATAAGTATAGGTCCACTTTTTCTGGTAGCCCCCATATAACGGTACCTCCTAATTTTCAGTATTTTGGGGGTTTTGATCGTATTTCTCCACCGAATTGGCTGTAATTTAGTATTTTGACTTCTTAATAGGTACCAAATCTCTCCACAAAAAATTATAAATATAGGTCAATTTTTTCGGGTAGTCCCCATATAAGGGTACTCCCCAATTTTCGGTATTTTGGGGTTCTTGAGCGCGTTTTTTCAGCCGAATTCGCTGAAATTTGCTACATTGGGTTCTTATTGGGTCCTAAATGTCTCCACAAAATATTATAAATATAGGCGCACTTTTTCTGCTAGCCCCCATATAACGGTACCTCCCAATGTTCAGTATTTTAAGGGTTTTGCTCGTATTTTTCCGCCGAATTAGCTGTAATTTAGTATTTTGAGTTCTTAATAGGTACCACATCTCTCCACAAAAAATTATGAATATAGATCCATTTTTTCGGATAGCCCCCATGTAAGGGTACCCCCAATTTTCGGTATTTTGGGGTTCTTGAGCGCGTTTTTCAACCGAATTTGCTGCAATTTGGTGTTTTGTAGTCTTATATGGTAACAAATCTCTCTACCAAAAATTATTAATATTCGCCTCCTTTTTGGGGTAGTCCCCATATAACCCCCTTTTTTATATTAAAATAGTTATCTGATTTGTTCCGCGTTTTGAGTTTGGTTCTAAGACTCTGTTGTAATCATTTCACCTCCGGAGGATAGCAAGATAAAAAATTAGAACTTAAGGTTCGATAGCCGCATTTAGACCTAGCCCCTGTGTGGAGGTTTCAGAAGGAGTGGACCGATATTCCCCATCTTCGAATTTGAATTATCAATTAAAAATTTCTGAAATTTTATTATGGTTTACATAATCCGTTTTTAGACATGTCGGTATATGTTCACGTTTTGGTATGTTCCCTTTATTTTCATTTCTAGTACCTGTCAGTATATCTATGGTGGAGGGTATCCAAAGTTCGGCCCGGCCGAACTTAACTCTTTTTCACTTGTTTTTTTAAATTCACGCCTTGGTAGGAAGATTAAAAAATCCACGCCTTGGTAGGAGGATTAAAAAATCCACGCCTTGGTAGGAGGATTAAAAAATCTACGCCTTGGTAGGAGGATTAAAAAATCCACGCCTTGGTAGGAGGATTAAAAAATCTACGCCTTGGTAGGAGGATTAAAAAATCCACGCCTTGGTAGGAAAAATATTCTTTTAAAAAATCCACGCCCTGGTAGGAAAAATATTCTGTTAAAAAATCCACGCCTTGGTAGGAAAAAAATTCTTTTAAAAATTTACGCCTTGGTAGGAAAAGTATTCTTTTAAAAAATCCACGCCTTGGTAGGGAAAATATTCTTTTAAAAAATCCACGCCTTAGTAGGAAGATTAAAAAATCCACGCCTTGGTAGGAGGATTATTTTTTTTTAAATCCACGCCTTGGCAGGAGGATTAAAATAAATTCTTGGTAAAAAATTAAAAATATTCTTTTTTTAAATCCCCCTGTAAAGCCAAAAGTAAAAAAACTTCTTTTCATATTTTATGTGTTTTTTCTTCGTCTCTTTATTTAGCAAATTATTGCAGTATAAGAAATTATACATTTATGTTTTGTTGTTTGTTTGTTTTTCCTCATTTCAGTTAATTTGTTTTTGTTTTTTTTGTTTTCTGTTAATTTTACATTAAGCTACATACATACATAGAATGTTCATTGTTGTTTTTAATGCTATGCTTT